TAAAAAATTAAAGGAAACATTATTTAACATAGGGCACAACTCTCAAACTGTTTTCTCCATCTCAGGACCCCTTTCCACTCTTAAATTGTTGAGGATTCCAACGAGCTTTTATTTTTGTGGGTTATATCTATCAATATTTACCATGGACATTAAAACTGAGAAATGTAGGCCAGGCGGTATCTCAGAGCTGTAATCCTAGCACTCTGGGAGGCCGAGGAGGGAGGAGCTCAGTAGCTCTAGACCAGCCAGAGCAAGAGTGAGACCCTGTCTCTACTAAAAATAAAAAAAATGACCCTAATGCAGTGGTGTGTCTATAGTCCCAGCTACTTGGGAGGCTGAGGCAGGAGGATCACTTGAGCCCATGAGTTTGAGGTTGCAGTGAGCTAGGCTGATGCCACTGCACTCTAGCCTGGGTGACAGAGCAAGACCCTTTCTCAAACACACAAACACTGAAAAATGTTTAAAACACAATTCCATTCAAGGAAGTGTTGGTCCTTATGAAAAAAAAAAAAAAAACCCACACCCACAATTCCATTAGCTGTTTAGAACAGGGATGATATCACATGTCAAGCAGCCTCTGGAAAACTTTTCTATTCACTAAGAGAGTGAAAAAAGGCAAATAACCTCTTAGTATTATTATGAAAGTAATTTTGACGTGGGGAACTTCCAGAATGGTCCTGAGCTCAGTGGTCCCGGGACTACATTTTGAGAACTGCTGGTAAGAGGGAAAATAATAGAAGGAAATACACTACATGATAACAATTATTCTCTCTCAGTGAGGGAATTCTTTTTTTATTTTTATTTATTTATTTTTTTGAGACAGAGTCTCACTTTCTTGCCCGGACTAGAGTGCCATGGCATCAGCCTAGCTCACAGCAACCTCAAACTCCTGGGCTCAAGCGATCCTTCTGCCTCAGCCTCCTGAGTAGCTGGGACTACAGGCATGTGTTACCATGTCTGGCTAATTTTTTCTATATATTTTTAGTTGGCCAATTAGTTTAGTAGAGACGAGGTTTTGCTCTTGCTCAGGCTGCCTTCGGACTCCTGACCTTGAGCAATCCTCCCGCCTCAGCCTCCCAAAGTGCTAGGATTACAGGCGTGAGCCACCACACCCGGCCTCAGTGAGATGATTTTGTTATTGGCTTCGTGTTTCCTGTAAAAAAAAAAAAGGAAGATAACAATGACCACGTATTGTTTTTGCAAATAAAAAGGAGACAATACAGCCGCCTGCATAAGACTGTTCAAAGGCCCAAACAATACTAGCGTATTTGGCTTTGTGGAAGGGTTAAACAGAGCTCTAACCTGAAAATAAGGGTCCAATGTCCCGTGTGTAAATCCCTGGGCTGCGAAGGCAGAGTCCTGCCCTCAAAAGTTCCACCGTTCGGCTTGGGGAGAGAATATAAGTGCCCACATAACTGTACGGCAAAGTCCCGAGGACCCCAAATACAGCGGCTGCATCCCACACAGCACTGTGACCTCGGGCGCCCAGCAGAACCACCCCCGCCGCGCAATCGTCGAGCCCAAGCTCCGAACAACTGGTCAGACTGGCTCTCAGCAGAACGCATGCGCACTTACACACGCACTGGTAGGCGAGGCCTAAAGGAGACTGACACAGGTCTCGGCCTCTCAGCTTTCTAGCTCCGCCCCATATCCTCCCTCCCTCTCTGAGTGGCTGCAAGGCTACGTAGGCAAACTTCCCATTGGCCGCGGGCGGAGCCCACATCCGCTTTGCACGTCGGGCCGGGTGGCTAGGAGGCCGCCATGGTACGGTTCAAGCACAGGTAAGCAACACTTTCTGGACCCTACCAGTGCCCTGCCGGGTCCCCGCGGCTCCAGCTCGCGCTCACCTCCCTCTCACCTGCCACAGGTACCTGCTCTGCGAACTGGTGTCTGACGACCCACGCTGCCGCCTGAGCCTGGACGACCGAGTGCTGGGCAGCCTCGTACGGGACACGATTGCCCGGGTGCACGGGGCTTTCGGTGCAGCCGCCAGCTCGATCGGCTTCGCGGGTGCGAGGGCGCTAGGGAAACCCGGGAGGACGGCGGGATTTGGAGTGGGCAGGCACCAGAGTAGGGAGAAAGAAGGGGCTTGAGCGACCCCTGGAGCGGCCACGCCCGTGCATCGTCCTTTGTGCAGTATCGGTGTCTGGGACCTGGAGGGGGAGGTCCAGAAGTTAGGCAGAGATTGGGGGAACTTTGGGCAAAAATCTTCTCTGTACTTGTTGACATCTATAACTGGGGGTTGTGATTGAATAGGTTGGAGAATTAAATGATGTTGTGTATAATTCCCAGTATAAGCTATTATTAAACCGATTACATTTACATCTCATGGGAAAAGTCAAAAACTCCCTGAAAAGCCCTTAGAGTTGGTAAAGTACAGAATTCATGGCTGTATATATAAGCCAGAACAAAGAAGGGCTTTTCTTCCACACTATTTAGTTCCTTCTTTTACTATAAACTCCAGAGTTAAATGCACGTAAATTCCCCTACGTCTGGTGAGCCTCAGCTTACTGCTACAAGAATGTATGGAGCCCAGTTGCAGTAAAAAACAACCTGGTCTTCAGGCAAGGGTTTTTTTCCTGTTGAATAAAGATGGATATTCCCACCACCCTCATATATTTAATTAGTGAATTCGAAGAGCGTTTTATATTATTTATTTTGAGAGTCTTGCTCTGTCTCCCAAGCTAGAGTGCAGTGGCATTGTCATAGTTCACTGCAACCTCAAATTCCTAGGCTCAAGCAGTTCTGCCTCAGCCTCCCAAATACCTGGGACTACAGGTTCATGTCACTATGCCCTGCTTATTTTTCTATTTTTAGCAGAAATGGAGTTGGGAGAGTGGCTGGCGCTTGTGCAGAGCTGGTCTCGAATTCCTGAGCTAAAGCAATCCTCCCACCTCGGCCTCCCAGAGTGCTAGGATTATGGGGCATAAGCCACTGCCCCTGGCCCTAGAAGAGTATTTTAAATTATAAATTCATTCACCAATTCAGAATGGTGTGCAAGGCAAAGGGTGGTTATCCCCTTCCAAATGAAGGTCTGTCCTTAAGTGGTTCTTCTTCAGGAATCTTTGTTTCTACTCACTGGCACTTACCTCCCAAGTGCCACTGACCTAGAACATTTTTGGCATATGGTAGGCTCTCTGTTACCCTAAGGTTTTTAACCTGTTCATGTGCAAAGTCTTCCAAAATGACTTTTTCCCCCTTTTACAGTTCGATACCTCAATGCCTATACTGGAATAGTGCTACTTCGATGCAGAAAGGAATTCTACCAGCTTGTGTGGTCAGCTCTGCCTTTCATCACATACTTGGAGAACAAAGGACACCGTTACCCTTGTTTTTTCAACACATTACATGTTGGAGGTAGGGATGGCATGTGGTATGGCTCCTGATTTTCAATACGTGACGAGTTCAATCCTGAGTAGTAGGTGGGCCTTACTGATATCCCTCTGAGAATAAGATACTTTCCCCTAGCTCTGAAAGTCTGCCAGGTAGAGAACTTTCACAAGTGGTTGACACAAAAACTTCTTCATATGCCAGGTACAATTAGAACATGTCAGAAGTTCCTAATTCAGTACAACAGGAGACAGCTGTTGATCTTGTTGCAGAACTGCACTGATGAAGGTAAGCAACACTAGCCCAGTGCCCACCAGGCAATGACTGACCTTCAGCTGACTAAGATAGTTCCAAAGTCATCTTTCATCTGTGCTGTTTGCCATTCTCCAGGAGAGCGGGAAGCTATCCAGAAGTCTGTCACAAGAAGCTGTTTACTAGAGGAGGAGCCAGGTGAAGAGGAGCTTTCAGACAGTGGTGGTGAGGAGGCTGCTGAAGCAATGGAATGAGCTGCTGCTTCCTACATAGCAGGCTACGTTTTGCCCAAGCCTCGGACCCACTTCTTGGAATAGGACATTCTGTGTGGCAACAGCATCTTCTACCGTACTCCAGATTGAATGACTGCCAATCAGAGGACACATTACCAACTTGAAATGGAGGACTTACTCAAACTAAACTTGTCTTTACCTAGTGTTCCCTGGTTAAGTGATGTAGGTTTGAACTCTGTAGCTATAGACATTTTTGTATATAATTGCCTGGCTGAGAGTAGGCTTAATAAATATATTTGGTTTCTATAACATTTAGCATACTTGTTACCAAAAAAGGGGACTTAGGGAATTCATGCTTGGCCAACTATACATGGCTAAGTATACATTTTGAATACTTAGCCTTCTACTGAGGCTTTAGCTAACAAGTCATTTGGAACAGAAATATTAGTGAGACTCAACTACTAAACGTGGCACAGATCTATAGCCAGTCTCAGCACTGACCCATAGGGCTCTAAAAATACCACATTTCTAGCTTTTCATTGAGGAAAAAAAAGAAAAGAAAAAATAAAAATTGATACCTTAAAATTTAAAAAATAAATATATACCAGATTTCATTGCCAATACTTAATCAAGTGACTTAAAAACACAGATTTTGTGCTTGGGGGGGGGGGGGTTTGGCTTCACCTGACCTCATAATGCAAGGCCATTTAGCTGCTACCAACTTCAGGTGGTTTTCTACAGTTCCATTCTTCCCTATTGCTTTACACCTGAAGACAGGGAGACTGCCACACTCACAGGAACTAGGAAGGGCAAGAGACTTGATCAGGTTTGGTCTGCTACCTACTGACATTTCTAGGATCTGTTTTCCCCATAATAAACTGGGTGACATTCAAAGTATTATAAAAATTTAACAGAAAGATTTGTGATTTTGGCTTCAATGTGGTGCTTCCCCCCTCAACTCAGGGCCCAACACCCTCATTCACCCAGGAGAGTTCCTAACCTAGGATTTTTTTAAATGGCAGGTTAAAGCTAAGCGCTAAGAACTCTTTAGGCCTGACACCAAAAAAGACATTTATCCATGACAGCAGAATCGCTCAAGTTCATAGCAGCCGTTACTTTAAACTATTCAAGAAGTAACATGTCTAGCTGATCTGTAATCAACTTAAAAAAACCAAAAAGCTCATATTGCTTGTGCAGGTAATTTATTGCAACTATTTGCCTTCACATTCTGTTAACCTAGAAGTCACTTTATTAAGCAGCAAAAGAATTCACATCACTCAAATTCAGCTCAAACCAAAACATAAGAAAACTGCTCTAGGTAAGAGGGAGGCAGACAGCGGACAACCCTACTGCTTTCAAACTGTCCTGCTCTCTTCCAGGTGTGTCAGACTCCTGTTCCTACAACTTGGGTCACTGTCACAAAAAAAACAAGCTTGATTGGAGGAGTGGCAAGTCCCAGGGCTTCCTTCATGACAGTTAACAGCTTTCCTTATCAAGCAGCCATGTTCAAGAGGCAAAACCCTCCCTCACACATATTAGTGCCAAGAAGAACCTACCCCATCAGGCTGGCAACCCAGCCTGGCCAGATGTCAAGAAAAATGAACTGCAATTCAAACTGGGTGTCCTAAATCCATTTTATTCCCATCCCTCTGTTTCTGTAACAAGGAGAACTGGCTGAACAGGTAGGAAAGATTCAACTATTTTTAAAAGACAAACTGACAGGTGTGCTAAAACCATGAAGCCCTGACACATGATACTACAGCAGAGCAGTGCTGTACCATTCTGGTTTGGGCTATTCCAAGGATGACAAAAGGACTCAAAACTTATTTTGGGTTAAGAAAAATTAATTAGATGTGAGTCAAAAAGACTAACCTGGCAACAAACTAAAAACCTTGGCAGGAAGAGATCTCTTGTGAGTGTCAATACTTTATTTTGGTGTAAAGACGGGAAGCTGGAAAATACACTGTATTTAAAATTTTCTTGGTTCCCCCTCACGTTGTGGAAACCCCCTCCCCCCCAGTGCTAATCTGTTCAAACTCAAATACTTAAAAATTACAGCAGCCAAACAAAAGCACAGAAAAAAGAAAACCAGATGGAGAAGGTAGCCTGGGCCAGTACTGTCACTTGGTGTAGACGACTGAAGTGCTGAACAGGAGCTTCTGTTTCTGTTTTTTTCTTTTCTTTCCTCCTTTGTCTTCTAAAGGAAAACAGAAAGAGAGCTTGCTTAGCTTGAAATGCCATCCTCTTGTCCCCTGGCCAATTTTCATCACTAGGAGTCACAGAATGGGAACTAAGAGTGTAGGCTGTGGGATTAGGTTGCCTGGATTCAAATAGTCCTAGCATACATTACATGTGTCTTCAGACAAGTCACTTTATCTCCCTGGACCTCAGGTTCCTCATCTGTAATGGGAGAGTTTACACCCATTTACTGTGGTGGTTGGCAGAATAAAATTAGCACAGTGCTAGTAGGCACTTAGAAAGTACAGCATAAATGTGTTATGTTCTCATCTACCACGAATACCAGAGTAAGCCAGGCTTTAAGCCTGAATTCTCCATCCATTAGCTACCCTTTACCAACTCAAGATTCTAAAATGTAGGCAGGATCTACTCTCCACTGTGTCTTGGAAGGGGAAAACAGTAAGAGTTACTTAGAATTTCACTTCAGGCCTCAAGAAATAATCTGAGGTGGTAAATAGGTCCTATCTGACATACCCATTGGACACATTAGTTTACAGTAGAATGTGTTGAAGACTGAGGGCCCAGAGGTTCAGATGAAGTGCCTGACCAATTAGTGATGTCTGCCACTGGATCCAGATGAAAATGGCATTTCATGTGTAGTCCGTTTGGCAAACCCTGTGGCTAAGCACTCCAGTTTTCTGTCCTTCCTTACCAGAGAGGGGATCTGAAGTAGCTGGTGTGTCCAGTTTCATGAAGGCTGCTTCAATTGCTTGGCTGAAGGAATTTTGGAAACTGGGCACAGGAACACGGTCTGAGTTATCACTCTCCCCATCGCTGTCCACAGGGGCAGGAGGAACTAAGCTGTTCTCATCTAAAAAATACCAGTGTTACAATTCTAGAAACAACTCTGGAGCCTTTTACTGAAAAGAGCCAAATTCACTCCCCTTCACCAGTGGGCCATCCTCACCTTTTTTTGGAGCAGTTTTGGGCCACACATCTGCTTTTGCTTTTCCAACCCTCAGCATCTGCCAAAGTGCAAGAGAGAGGGGAAAGAATTTAACTCATCCAGCTTCTCTTGTCCAGACTCCTACCCTGACACTAATTGGCTGAGGGGGGAGGCACAAACCAAATATCTCCTTTGAAAATATTTTCCAAGTACTTATCTCCTTAATACACTGTGTCAGTCATGTCCTTGACCCATGACAAATGGAAATGGCAGTGAACCCCACAAAGTTGTAAACCGTGAGCTATTCTGTTCCTTAGGAAACAGGTAAAAAACACTATACAGGAGGCACAAGAGGTTCTTACTCAGACTCTCAGGTTGGAAATCCTGACTTTCTGATAAGTTTTCCTGCCCTTCACGGGACCCCTACAAACATCAACCTGTTGGAGTAAACACTGTGTACTACCCTCCAGTTTCTAAACAAACCACATGGCTATCAGACTTCAGTTACTTAAGGCCAGGAAAACTAAACTTTATCCTGACACTGCTCCAACTGCCTTCACTACCTTTTAATCTTAGCTTTTCCAATACCTCCCTAATCATTAACTTTTAGATACAGCCATAGACCAGTAAAACTCCTACAAGTACAGTAAAATCAGAACAATCCTCCTTCCCCTGAAAAATCTTTTCATTTCACTTAGCCAAAGCCAGTTTTTTCATTGTTGAGGGCCACTGTGAGTCCCGACTGTCCAATATGCCATTCAACTCAAGGCAGGGAGGATTTTGTTCCTGGATAAATGTCAAGAGACAAGCCTGATAGGATTCAAGCAGGAATGCCTTACCCTAAAAGCATGTGTCCCAAAGTGAGGCATGCCTATTATTCAAAATGAGCTGTGTAGACAGATGTACATTTCATTAAATAACCTTTCTTCACCATGTATCGCTTTGGTGATCTTCTTCCTTGGTCCCTGGGAGCTTGCATCTGCTATGGTTTGAATATTTGACCCCTCTAAGCCTCATGCTGAAATCTGATCCCCAATGTTCAGAGGTGGGACCTAATGGGAGGTGTGTGGCCATGGGGGTAGAGGCCTCATGAATAGATTAACACCCTCCCTTAGGAGGTTTGGAGTAAGTTCCTGGCTCCATTAGAGCTGGTTGTTAAAGACAGCCTGGCACATTCCCCCACCAACCCCTTGCTTCCTCTTTCACAGTGCACAGGCTGACTCCCTGACTTCTGCCAAGAGTGGAAGCAGCTTGAGGCTTTCACCAGATGCCCAATCTTCCAACCAGCAGAATTGTGAACCAGATAAACCTTTTTCTTTATAAATTACCCAGCCTCAGGTATTTCTTTATAGCAACCCAAAGGGACAGGATCCAAATAGTATGACATTTGAATCATCTCACTCTTAAAAGGTAATTAATACATTCTATACAATTCTGAGTTAAAATATATGTACACACACATATATGTATATCGCCTATGTTTTATTCTTTTTTTTTTTTTTTGAGACAGAGTCTCACTTTGTTGTCCAGGCTAGAGTGAGTGCCGTGGCGTCAGCCTAGCTCACAGCAACCTCAAACTCCTGGGCTCGAGTGATCCTTCTGCCTCAGCCTCCCGAGTAGCTGGGATTACAGGCATGCGCCACCATGCCCGGCTAATTTTTTTTATATATATATCAGTTGGCCAATTAATTTCTTTCTATTTATAGTAGAGACGGGGTCTCGCTCTTGCTCAGGCTGGTTTTGAACTCCTGACCTTGAGCAATCCGCCCGCCTCGGCCTCCCAAGAGCTAGGATTACAGGCGTGAGCCACAGCGCCCGGCCTTATGTTTTATTCTTATCAAAAATGTTTACATGTTTAACCTGAATCCACTTAGGAAACAATCACAAAAATCCAAACTAAAGGACACATTAAAGATCAACTGGCCCAGATACTTCAGAAGTATCCATGCCATGGAAAGGGGGAAAAATGCTGGGGGGGGGGGGCGCATGGGGGGGAGAGGTGGCAGAGGAACTGTTACACTGTTACAGATCAAAAGAGACTAAAGACATTTGACAGCCAAATGCAATGAGTAATCTCTGATTGGACCCTGAACTAAAAAGAATAAAGGACATTGAGACAGATGGGGAAACAGAAATATGCACTATATATTTATTGTAGCAGTTATTATTATTGTAGCAGTTAAATTTCTTGGACATGATAATTGTGGTTATGTAGGAGAATCACTTTCTTTGGCATGCATTGCCTAAGTATTTAAAGGTGAAGTGTCATTCATGACACAGAAAAAAAGGAGGAGAGAGGAGGAGAAAACAAACACAGAAAAACACTGGTGAATCTAGGTCAAAGGTAGTATTCATCATTCTTTCAACTCCAAGTTTGAATTTTTTCAAAATAAAATTGAAAGGAAAAAAAATGCCATAAAACCTAGTTTAGCCGGGCGCGGTGGCTCACGCCTGTAATCCTAGCACTTTGGGAGGCCGAGGCGGGCGGATTGCTCAAGGTCAGGAGTTTGAAACTAGCCTGAGCAAGACCCCGTCTCTACCAAAAATAGAAAGAAATTAATTGACCAACTAAAAATATATATACACAAAAATTTAGCCGAGCATGGTGGCGCATGCCTGTAGTCCCAGCTACTTGGGAGGCTGAGGCAGTAGGATAGCTGAGCCCAGGAGATTGAGGTTGCTGTGAGCCAGGCTGATGCCACAGTACTCACTCTAGCCTGGGCAACAAAGTGAGACTCTGCCTCCAAAAAAAAAAAAAAAAAAAAAAACCTAGTTAAAAAAAAAACTTCAAGTACTTGGCGTAACTCCTGGGAGCCACTTTTTTTAATCCCCTCTGAAGTCCAGCAGTTATTTTTGAGGACTGCCCTCAAATTACTTTATTCTTCTTGAATACTGGACCTTCCTTATCAAAGTTCAATCCCTGCTTATTTCTCAGCACCAACTGCCATTTTTACATGAGAAGTATCCCTATCAATGGCTCTAAAGAACTGTTAAGGTAATGATTCCAAACTAGCCCAAACAAGCTAATACTGACTTCATACAGGGGCATTTATCAAACTATCCATCATCTTCCTCAGATATCTGAACAAAGGAATGATGAGTATTTGCTTATTGTTTTAGAGATTAATGAAGTCATTTGACAGCAGGTCTCCCTAGCCTAGTGTTTCCCCACCCTGCTGCTCCAAGGAAGCAGCTTTGGCTAGTTAGAATAACCAATCCTTCCCTCTCCAAAGTGAAGAGGAATGTTTATTCCATGTAACACATTAATACCACATCAATCAGAGGTCCTAGAATAAGAGACCAGTTAAAAGTGACAGATGCATCCCCAGCCCCTAGAACAGTGCCAAGTATCAAATGATTTTTTTTTTTTTTTAAAGACAGAGATTCACTCTGTAGCCCGGGCTAGAGTGCCGTGGCATCAGCCTAGCTCACAGCAACCTCAAACTCCTGGGCTCAAGCAATCCTTTTGCCTCAGCCTCCCGAGTAGCTGGGACTACAGGCATGCACCACCATGCCCGGCTAATTTTTTCTATATACTTTTAGTTGGCCAATTAATTTCTCTCTATTTTTAGTCTCGCCCTTGCTCACACTGGTTTCGAACTCCTGACATTGAGCTATCCCCTCCTATCTCGGTCTCCCAGAGTGCTAGGATTACAGGCATGAGCCACCACGCCCGGCCTCAAATCATTTTTCAGATAATTTTTCAGATAAAACTCTGATCCTCCTTCAAGTATTCTTGGCCTCTCTTCTGGGAATGTCTACAGTAATATCTAAAGACTAAATCCATGAGTTTTCCTCTTAAAACCCTCCCATGATTATTAGAGTCAGTGCAACATTAGCCTGTCTCTGCAACAGAGGGGATGTCCATGACATAATCTTTCAGCCAACTCCTTGCTGCCTAGAAGTGGATACCCCTCACAGCCATCATATGACTTAATTTGTACAGCTAGCTGTATTAGAATGACAGGTAACAATCCCTGGATGAGGTTCCCATAATAACAAGCAGCAGAGTTAATGTTAGATACCCTTGGGCTACCTCACAAGCAAAGGATTTACCTGGGCAAAGGAAGGGAAGGGAGAGTCTTCTTCCAGACTCCCAACGCAGAATGAGGGACTGCCCTGACCGGCAGTGGGTGACAGAGGGGTCAGCAGAAAGTCTGAAAGGGAACCAGAGACCTGATTATATGAGTCAAGTTCCAAAGAGCTAGTGTCCTAACAAGATGAGCCCTGAATCAGGTCTGAATAATTACCAACCTCCCCTCAAAAAAGCAAAGCTTGATCCAACCTTCAACTTTACTATGTTTTTGTAAAGCAAAAAAAAAAAAAAAATCATCTATTACAACACTGACCAGTAAAGGGAGAGAAGAAGCTTCTTCATGGTTACAATAACACCAAGAGTCATGGTGGAAACTACTCCCATAGTAAGAAAAACTTGTCATGGACTGGTTTTATATGGATGGAGAAGCTCCAAGAAAAAGACAAAATTTAATCAGGTTAACCTTTATGTTCTAGCCAGAAGATGTCTATGACCTGGGAATATTCAATTAGAATCCAAGACCCATCAACAAGATCCAGTGTAAAGATGCAAACTTTTCTCTGCTACTCTGTCTGCTCTATTCTTTCTGACCCAGAGTTGAACACTTCTTCACACAGGTCTGTCTATCCACTGCCCTGACCGCTGCTGGACCAGAGGCCTATTCTCCCTCTTGGTAGCAGACCCTTCCAAGTCAGGGGGCTGTCTAGTACTTTGATTCCTAAGATTGTCCAACTGCTCTTGCCTAAATACATTAAAAGCCCAAACTTTCAGAAAAGCTAGCATATAAAAATACAATCTTTATACACCACAAATAATGGATCCAATGATCTGCCACAGTCCTTTGTGTAACAGCTCCCTTCTCAGTTAAGCCCAAGAGCATCATGGTCACACAGTCCTCGAGAACCACTAGGTAATCCCAGTTCCTGCCATTAAGTCCCTGACTTAGCCTCAGGTTCCTAATCTGCAAACTGATAGGCATAGGATCACAAGGGTCACCAACAGTTTTAAATAATCTGACACACAGAAGAATAAAAAAAAAAACCAGCCAGGCGTTGTGGTGCACATCTGTAGTTCCAGCTACCTGGGAGGCTGAGGCAGAAGGATGGTTTAGAGCCCAGGAGTTGGAGGTTGCAATGAGCTACAATGACACCACTGCACTCTACCCAGGGCAACAGAGTGAGACTCTGTCTCAACAGGGGAAAAAAATAAAAAGGGCAACTGAACACGTCTCCTCACAATCCCCTGCCCCTTCATATTAAAAAGAAAAAAATATTCTGACAGAGAAATAAGTCTTAAGTATCAAAAACTATCTGCCAGATAGATGAAGATCAGAAAAGAGAGCTCTCTGAAATCATAGTTGATACTAATAAATGTTTAATTTCATAACACTTTAATACATTCTCTCTATATATATAAGAAAAAGTATTATTTTTTATTTATTTATTATTTTGTGTGTAGAGATGGGGTCTCGCCATGTTGCCCAGACTGGTCTTGAACTCCTGGCCTCAAAATGATCTTCCTGCCTCGTCCTGCAAATTGCTGGGATTATGTGTGAGCCACCATTCTAGCTAAAAAAAAGTATTTTTAAAAAAAGGCTAAAGGCCTCTTTGAACAACATTTCAATCTTGATATCACTCCCTAGAGCAGAACACTGTTACCAGTTTGGAACATGTCTATTGTAATATTTTGGTATACATTTAGATGTAAAAATCCATAATAAAATGCTTTGCTTTGTGATAGGTTTTTTTTTTTTAAGCCACAAATGTTTGTTTTTATTCTACAACTTCTTATCTTCCCATTAGTCCATGAAGAGAGCTATTTCCTACTTCCACAAATGTGAAATATTTTATAGTACAAATGCTATCATTTAGCCATTCCCCTACTGATAGGCTTTGTAAGCTATTTCCTCTCTTTTTTTCTTTTTAGTTATTATAAATAATGCTACAATAAAGAGACACATACAAAGATGCTCAGGCATAAAGGGGAGTATCACAAACGTAAAAACTAGAAATAAAATAGCTGGGACATAAGAAAGAATCTAGGTTTAACTATCCTGCCTAATGAGCTGCCTTAAGCTTTTTAGAAGCTGGCAGAGTAGTCAGTACAACCAACTGGGAAGGGTGAATCAAATGGCAAGAATTTGATGTACCTCGGACTACCTCAAGGAAAGTTATTTACCTAAAGACCAACAACGCTATGCTGAGTAGGTCATGGTTATAAATTCAGACACCAAGGCTTTGCTTAAAGTCTAGCTGATGGCTGAATTCATTAAATCACAACCCTTATTTACCTGCATGGGAACCTGGACTTCTGCTAAGAGGAGAGAGAGAGAGGGCTCCATGGCCCTCGGTGCTGGTGGGACCCAAAGCAGAATCAGAGGAGCAGGTATAGGAATTGAAGGCAGGAAACTGCTGTAGATTCTCCAGGGGAATGTGGACTTCCGGATCTGCAAAGACAGACAACACTGGTAGGCCCATTTACAGAATTCTTTAAATCTTATCCAAAAGCTGAGGACAGCCAGTATGCATACCCCCAAGGGTCTACTCTAGAGAATGCAAACAGAAGCTTTAAAACCCAAATTTATAATAATTGTCATTCTATATCTTTGTTTCAATATAAAAGCCCTATTCCAAATATTCATAACTGAAGCTAGGTGATAAACATGGGGGTTATTTATATTGTTCTACTTGTCTGAACAGTTTCATAATAGAAAAGTTAAAATAAAAAATCCTATTCCTGAAACATCCGTTTTCCCAAAGTGTAGGACATGTGCCCAACACCCACACAGTGTTGGGACCCCAGGTATATATTATCCCAGTTTAAAATGTAAACTTTAAGGCCGGGCGCTGTGGCTCACGCCTGTAATCCTAGCTCTTGGGAGGCCGAGGCGGGCGGATTGCTCAAGGTCAGGAGTTCAAAACCAGCCTGAGCAAGAGCGAGACCCCGTCTCTACTATAAATAGAAAGAAATTAATTGCCCAGGAGTTTGAGGTTGCTGTGAGCTAGGACGCCACGGCACTCACTCTAGCCTGGGCAACAAAGCGAGACTCTGTCTCAAAAAAAAAAAAAAAAAAATGTAAACTTTATGTTTCCATACCACATGGAGTCAAAGCAGCTAAGCCCTTTCCTTATCCAAGGCCTGAATCCCTTGTTTTCTAATGATTAATGAAGCTTATGCTAAAGAACCAGATCATAAGACTCTGTGCTTAGTGATACAAAAGAGCTCTTAAATCTAACTTCCTACATTTATTTCTTAGTCTGTCAAAATTTCTACCTTATAAAAGCCCTGGCAGACTCACCAGGCAGAGTGGCCCCAAATTAATAGAGAGTCAGAGGTAAGGTCAGTGATCCATCCATAGAGACAGTGGCCCCCAGCATTCTCACCAGATACCACTTTCTAATCCTGGAACAGCTTTTGGTCACCCACTATGCAAAGGTTGAATTTCATCTTAATCCTTACTATATGCTATGAACTTTGACCCATATTAATTTTTTAAATTCTCAAGCCTATGAAGGAGGCACTCTCATTATTTACATTTGAGAGTTGAAGAAAACAAGTGACTGAGTTGAGACATGAACCCAAGCAGTCTGGCTCCTGGGCTCAGGCCCAGAGCCTCATACATTGAGGCACAACAGTACTAGTCAAAGGCAAGAGTTCCTGAACTTACATTTGCCCTGTTTCTTGTTCTCCTCCATCTCTATCCTGCGCTCTCGACGGCGTTCCTCCCGAGCCTTCTTCTGGCGCTGACGCTTCCTCTTCTCAATGTCATCTGTGGATTGATCAGACTGTGAAGAAGCAAACCCAGGACTACCTGGCCATTAACTCCTCCCAGTACTAGTAGCTAAGCCCACACCAGTGGGCCCATCTGGACTAGGTGAATGGATGGAGTGTTTCGGGAGATACTGAGATTCATGACACAGCTCCTAAAGTTTCCTCCCATGCCGAGCTTTTAGCCACAGGAATCCTATCCCCGAACCCCACTATAAAAGAGAAGCAGAACAGGGGCATTCTCACCTGAGAATATCTCTAGGGTTTCCTTAGAGACAAGAGGAGGCTGCAGAGCCAGTTCACAGATGCTGAACTCACAGGTGAGTGGCAAGTGAGAGAGATATCTGTGACGCTGTCGAACATCCTACATTGGAAAAGGGACCAATTCACAACTAAGACCAGGCCTAACTCAGAGCAGAGGATCCCAATACATTTGTTGTATACAAAAGTATACATACACTCACAGAACTGTGGCTCAAAAGAGTAGTGCTCACTCTGACTTGGGGAAGGGGGAGGAAGGGCAATATACGTAACCTTCACATTTGTACTCCCATAATATGTCGAAATTTTTTTAAAAAGTCAAACCTAAGAAATCATGTAACCTGGTCTCCTCTATGGTATAAAAGTGAGGCTCCAACATATTACACTTTTGTGTGAATCAAGTTTGACACTCTCCCATAAAAAAAAAAAAAAGAGTTGTGCTCAGTATCACCATTTTGAAAAGCCAAACAGAAACTGTCAAATGACCTATAATAAGGCAGAATAAGCAACCAAATCTAGTTTTTTGGTTTATGCTGCAAGTGAGTAAACTGACTCTGGCAACAAATAATCTAAAACTGATCTGCTGTTTCTGATTTTCTAGGGCTCACAATTGAGGTAGGAAAACAAGGAAGATAATGTGTTGGCACAAAAACAGAAACACCAACCTATGAACCACTGAGAGAACTAATGATAACTGGATTAAAGCAAATAAAGCAGATTTCCCTACTCAAAGAAGCTTGGCCTAAAAGAGTAAAAACCGAAGCCCATCAATTTAAGTTTAATTTTCATTTCCATCCTTTTTATGCCTAAGTTTGATGAAAAGTTTATTACTCAAAGAATCTAATTTTGAGGCTTATTACAAATTTGATCAATACAGAGATAACTCCCAAAGGGCAAAAGTTTACATATGAAAATTATCAGAATATAATTCATAGGTATCTGCAAAGGTAAAAATGCACTTTGAGCCTCCTGCATAACTTAGCTTAAAACCTCCAAGGACTTTAAGTTTTTTGAACATTTCTCCCAAGCAATAAGGAGAAAGAACAACAAAAGTAAATTCCATCTTGAGCTAGGCACAGTGGCTCAAGCCTATTATATCCCTGAGACTCAGGGGGCCAAGGCAGGAGGATCATTTGAGGCCACAAGTTTGAGACCAGCCTGGGCAACATCGTAAGACCCTGTCTCTAAAAAAATAAACTCCATCTTGAATAAAGAGGAGAAATCTATAACCCTAATTATAATAAAAGAACCTTGGAAGCAGGGAGCAGTGGTAACTGACATAACAGAACCCTACCATGCTGAGAGAGCACCTAACTTTAAAAAAAAAAATCAGAGCCCCATCATCACTGACAAAAACACTTAAAATACAAAAACTAAAGGCCCTGAAGGTTTGCAAACATAGGCCAACTAGGCCTACCTCAAAGAGAAGAGGTTAGTATTCCTCTCCCACCTTCCACTTTTAAAGGAAGGGCTTTACCTCAGACATGGAGTACCCAGCAATCTCCACCACAGTCGCTGAGATCTTCTCAGGGCTCCGCTCCAGGCTGCCATACTCCCGCACGAGGCAGCGCACATTCACAGGGTGCAGGAACATGTGCTGCCCGTCCTCCGCTGCAGACAAGGGACTTCATCACATAATAGTCTTGACCAGCCCTCAGGATGCCCCCTGCCCCCTCCTCATGCTCGACGGCATAAGCAATCCACGCCCCCAGGATCTGGTAGAGATACCCTTCCCCGCTTAGAGAGCCAGGTCATCTCTCTCTCAAACACCACTGTGGCAACCCAGCCCTCCTCTTCAGGGCCCCTCACCTTGATAGAAGTAGTAACAAGGAGAACTGCTCAGGTCTGTGAAGCCTGGATTGATGACTGGTTCCTGCTGGCTGGACTCAACACAAATGGTCCCTTCCCCAAGATTGTCATCTGCTAACTCCGAGTAATCACAGGCCTCTGACAACCCCTCAGGCTCTGGTTCAGACACTGCTTCCTCTTCCTCTACCAGAGGGAGAGCAAGAGGACGAGGAGAGTCCAGAGAACAAACTTCCGTGGTTTCTTCATCAAATGCAGACAGATAGTCTAGCACACCCTGTTGGAACAAACCCTAGGTCAACAGAAAGTGTGTGTTTGCTTTCAAGAAGTGATGTAGCAAAGGCAGGCTTAAGAACCAAGCTCTCTGGCTGTTTATCTAGCTATCACGTTCACTGATCAAACACCCCCGGGGAAAGAATTAATAAGCACACACAGGAAATACTGAGTCCCCTCTTCTGACAAAGTTCAGGCCTCATAGTAGTGCCTACCAGCTCAATAGCATTTGAGGAATGGTAACCATTTAGTCTGTAACAGAGACACACTAACCTTCCTGGGTTGAAAGACAGACTCCTTCGCCAAGGGAGCCATCAGCACCAGTTGTCCCAGAGCAGCCATGACACCAGTGACCTCCCCTCTGCTTTCAGCCAATCCTGATAGAGCCTCCTCCCGAGTCTAAGGCCATCAGAGAAAAGACCATGGAAAGGTAAGTTTCCAGAAACACACTTATTAGAGTGTGTTTCTACAAGTTAAAAGCCAACAAGACCCAATTGGGGCCGGACGCGGTAGCTCACGCCTATAATCCTAGCACTCTGGGAGGCCGAAGCAGGCGGATTGCTTGAGGTCAGGAGTTTGAAACCAGCCTGAGCAAGAGCGAGACCCCGTCTCTACTATAAACAGGAAGAAATTAATTGGCCAACTAGTACATATAGAAAAAATTAGCCAGGCTTGGTGGCGCATGCCTGTAGTCCCAGCTACTTGGGAGGCTGAGGCAGGAGGATCTCTTGAGCCCAGGAGTATGAGGTTGCTGTGAGCTAGGCTGATGCCATGGCACTCACTCTAGCCTGGGCAACAAAGTGAGACTCTGTCTCAAAAAAAAAAAAAGGCCCAATTAGAAGGGTTTAGTTAGGGACTTAACATCCTCAATCTTAACAGAAGCAAAAAGCATCTGTACCCACAAAGGATGGTATTCTGCTTAGAATCCAATACTGACAATACTACACAAAAGCTTCATGAACAGAAATCAAAGAACATGAAACTAGCCTTTTAGGTTTTACAAACTATGCTCAGAAAGAGGCCCAGAGTAGGAGGCAGGGGTCTGGCTAACTCCACCTCAACCTGGACATCCCTAATTCTATGTAGCCTTTCTTCTACCTGAAATGGCTTTTGAACAAATATTGCTGCAAGACAGAAAATAAAAATTAAATATGCAGGACTCTGCCTAAGGAAGATCTGGGAATCAGTGAGAAAAGAGTTCAAATACCGCTTCACCCCTTATTATTTAAGTGTCCTTAAGCAAATCACCTAACTGTGATTCCACTTCCTCACCCACGAAAGGGGTAATTGTAGCAACCACACCAGCATATGAAGCTTAAGTGAGACAAATAAGTATAGCACTCTGCCCATCACACACTAATCCCTCAATAAATGTGGGCTTTCATCACTCTAACCTACATCAGTCAATGGTTCTCAAAGTGTGGTCTGGGGATGAGCAGCATCAGAAGCACCCTGGAATTTATCATAATGCAAATGACTGAGTCTGAGTCTGAGTCTACTGAACCCAGATCTACTAAAGCAAACTCTCAGAGTGGAGCCCAACAACCAGTGACTCTGATGCTTAAGGTTTAAGAATCCCTGTTGTGAAGGACACAAAGGACTTAAGGAATTCTATCCTTGGATAATTCTTGCTGCTCCATGATCCTCAGCAGGTATTGCTAAGGCAGGCCATAATACTTTCCCCACATCATCTGTTAAAACACCTCTAAAATCAAATCTAAAAATTTTCCCAGAAAACAAAAACACCAACCTTGCTTACCTAAGAAACAACATAGCTTACCTAAGAAACTCTACTGTCACAATTAGTTATAATGCCATTTTGACTTGTTACTTTCTAGAAAGAGCTTAAAAGCCTCTAGGTTAGCCCTTCCCTCCCATCACCAAACAAAGTCCAGAGCAAATTGGTTTTTTTAGCCATTCTCTGATTATCTTAAATGTGGGCTTGAAGTAACTTATCCCCACTGTCCATCCACTCAGCCCCTGACAGTGGAAAGGTTTAGCATTTCTGCTTTTAGGTTTCTAATGCATTTTCTCACCTTGAGCTCCTGGATAGCTGCCTCAATAAAGCAGGACTCAGGAGTGTGCTTCTCCTCTGCCAGCTGCTGTTCTAGTGCTACTTTCTCTTCCAGAACTACCCGCTGCAACACCTGCTCCTTGGAGGCCAGCAGCAACTTGGAGTACTGGCTGTGCTGTTCATCTACAAGAAAGCCAGCAAGATCACAAAATACAACACTCAATGCTCATGATGGTGTGGCTAAACAGGAACTTTCATACATAGCCTTTTTTCTATGGTGAAGATGGGGTAATTTAGCATAATTACCTAGAAAATAATTTAAGAATGGTCTTAAAATAAGATTTATAACTCTGACCCCGTAATAGAAGACATCTAAGAAAACCAGAGATATAGTCAAAAATTTAGTCACACAATGTTTATTAATTACAGCATCGTATGTAATATCAGAAAAGCCAAAACTAACCAGTAAGTCCAACTAATAAAGAAATGGCTAGAGAAAATTTTGTGTGCACTCTGGGAGGCCGAGGCAGGAGGATTGCTCCAGGTCAGGAGTTAGAAACCAGCCTGAGCAAGAGTGAGACCCCGTCTCTACTATAAATAGAAAGAAATTAATTGGCCAACTAATACATATAGAAAAAATTAGCCGGGCATGGTGGCACATGCCTGTCGTCCCAGTTACTCGGGAGGCTGAGGCAGCAGGATTGCTTGAGCCCAGGAGTCTGAGGTTGCTGTGAGCTAGGCCGACGCCATGGCACTCACTCTAGCCTGGGCAACAAAGCAAGACTCTGTCTCAAAAAAAAAAAAAAAAAAAATTATTGAGAAATCTATCTTTTACCCAGAGATTAAAATGCTCACTTCAGCATGGAACACAGAGAATACCACTACTGGCATTTTCCCCACCATAAGCATTTATCACACTCTGTATCTAAACGACTGACCTACTGGGTCTCTTTTCCTTTGTTTCTTGTTTTTTAAGACTAGGCACACGAAGCAGCAGGAGTGGAGAAGGAACAAAGAAATCTTTAACTGGCTCTGATTAATTAGTTGTAAACACCACTGCACTTGGACCAGCCCAGATCTGTCTGTTTCATGAGACTACTGAGTTCCTTGAGACGGACACCAAGACTGGCTGACTTTGGAATCCCTAAGACTGGGCATAGTGCCAGACATTATTCAATGAAGACTTGTACAATGAAAAACTAAAATATGTCTGTGTATATGAATCAAACCTGAAACCAAAAGTTAATCTATTCTCCACGAACTCCACCCTAACCTATCAGAATGCTATGACTAATTTGACCATGCTGGAACTGGCTTGCCCAAAGACTAACTTTCTGACACTAGAAGGAAATATTCAAAAGCCTTAAAGGGTGAACCCAGTATTATTTGTCCCCCAAATTAGCAGAACTCACCTCCTAGACGAATGGGATGGTCTACGTTCATCCATTTGGATTTGGGCAAGGCCACCAACACCCCTTTTTCCCTCTTCATCAACTGCATTGTAATGGTATCGCCAACAACATACTGACGTGACTCTGTGGCAACAACACTGTAACATGGACATTTAGATGTAGCGGGACAAGGAGTTAGCAGACCAGGGACTAATCTTGTAAATGTCTTTATCTTACCTCTTGAGATCCTTCTTATGCACAGAACTATAACAGATGGGACATTTACTCCAGGTTTTCTCACTTAGTGAAAGATAGTGCAGGATGCAGGCCCAGCAGAAGATGTGTCCACAACGGGTTATCTTGGCTGCAGTAGGTGGATAGAGGCATATTGGGCAAGAGGGCACTTCATGGCTACAAATGCGCTGAAACAAAACACCACAAGTTTCACTGCTTTCAGAATTGACTTTGGATTGTCAAAGTTAAAGCCTCTCTTCTCTCATCCCTATCCCTGCATATCCCTTCTCAATACCGCTTCATTAAATTATTTAACAATGCAGGTACACACATAATAGCTCTTTAACCACTTCGGGACCAGCGTCGACTATAGTCGACAGACACCGATGAACACGCACAGTGGCTTTAGCTGACAGCCATGATATGAAGGCGCACAGCCGAGCGCCAACTTTAGCCAACAGCCGTTATATGACTTTTCTAATTTTTCATTTATCAAAATAAAATTGTGAACATTTAAAAATAACGTAATGAAAACATATATGTATATGTTACCTATTCTGATATTAACATTACAAGTAAAGCTGCCTGTAAAATAAAACAAGCTTTCAGTGCTTTAAAGCTTTCCTCATCACACAAGAGCAAAATGGATTCCTTGTCAATGCACAGCACAAGCTGTGGACAAGTGCAGACTATGAATGCCAGCTGTGGGCAAGGTTTCCTGGCCAGTGAGCGTGGTCCTGAAGTGGTTAAGCAAATCATTAAGGAAATCATAATGGTTGGCCGGGCGCAGTGGCTCACACCTGTAATCCTAGCACTCTGGGAGGCCGAGGCAGGCAGATTGCTCGAGGTCAGGAGTTCAAAACCAGCCTGAGCAAGAGCGAGATCCCCATCTCTACTATAAATAGAAAGAAATTAATTGGCCAACTAATATATAGAGAAAAAATCAGCCAGGCATGGTGGCACATGCCTGTAGTCTCAGCTACTCGGGAGGCTGAGGCAGGAGGATCGCTTGAGCCCAGGAGTTTGAGGTTGCTGTGAGCTAGGCTGATGCCATGGCACTCACTCTAGCCTGGGCAACAAAGTGAGACTCTGTCTCAAAAAAAAAAAATCATAATGGTTTAATTAAAACACACATAACAGGTATTTTGGAGGTTCTACACTAAGGGAAAAAAGACAAATCACTATATAATCCCATTTACAAAAAAAGATTTCATATGCATGCATACATAAAGGCATAAAGAGGGTCTACAAGTAATCTCCCAGTAATTTCCAAGAGAGAAGGCCTTAACGAGACTTCACTTAATGTGTCTGTTTTTTTAACCAAGGCACATAAAAAGTAAGTTTTATAGGCCTTCTACGTCATTACCATGTTTAAGCCCTAGCAGAATTTCTAAGCATTTGTGCGATATAAGCCCTACCCCGAAAATAAGACCTAGTGATAGGCGTGGCTATGCAGTGTATCTGCACAACCCATGCATTTCGTCGCGGAGCTGTAAAGATGATGAGCAGCCCTTCTCATCTGCCCCATGAACTCTATTGCTTGACATGAGAGATTGGGGCCAATGGTTCTAAAGGAAATAGAGTCACAAGAAATTCAGGATGGACTTCGGGGTTTGGAGAGTTACGATGATGTTCCAGAAGAAGACAACTTAACTATATTTCAATAAATATAGACTGCTGTACCATACTTAAAAAAAATAACACATCCCCTGAAAATAAGCCCTAGAGTGTCTTCTTAAGGAAAAACAAATATAAGACCTTGTCTTATTTTCAGGGAAACACGGTATCAGATGATTTTATGAATTTTCACAGTAATGGGAATTCAAGTTTTGCGGCCGAAAGCCCGTTCATCAAGAAAGAAAAAAGTACCTGTCATTTTTAAAGTTAATTCTTCCATATCAGATGCCCTATTAGGATTAACAAGGGATACCTAGAGTTCCTAACTTCAGTAGAAAAACAATGCGGCAGTGGCTTTGAAAGTTCAACTGTGTGGCTCATTCACCTACCGCAAAACTAATGTTTAATTTGATACTGATTACTACAAATACTGCCAATGAGGCAATGACTATGTAATGAGCCTGCCCTCAGCCATGAGGGTAACAAGTCCCTGCTTACTACTTCTCAACTCATACATCTTCAGATCAGAGCCTTCAACATCCCATCTCTACAGGCCAGTGCCAATTAGAGAATCACAAAATGGACTCCAGGAACCAGGGAGTGGCCTCTGAGAAATGGCCACAGGAAGGCCAGGCAGAAAAGGGTATCAGCAGTGAACACAGCCAACAGCTGCTATGTCACCACAGTCCCTCTCTTTAGTCCTCTCCCCCATTAACAGCTCACAGGCTTGGCTGAACTACTTACCACTTGTTCCACAAAGTCCCAGTTGACTAAAGTATCAGGATCAGCAAAATGAGCTGTGTAGTCTTGTTCTTCAGACACCACAAACTGGCAGCTGGAAATAGGGAAGACGACAAGGAAAGGGCAGACTGTCAGAATCCACCAATAAGCCCTCAGCAGAAATTCAAGCATCTCTTCACTTAGAAATCAAATGCAGGCCACTGAGCAGCCATGCTTAGTGAAGCACTGTACTAGTTATCAGCCTCAGTTCTGAGCCCTGACTCTGGAAGGGATCCAAATACTCAGCAGGCAGAAGTCTAAATCCTGTTTCTTCTACTTCCAAGCCCAGTCAAACTCCCTGTAGACCTCCCTTGAACTAAAATTAACTCCAATAGCCAGCAGTAAGCCAGATTTCCTCCCTCGCCACTCAGAACATGGCAAGTATTCAAAGTAGTAGGAAAGAATGTTCTTAATCATTTGAGACTGGTTTACATAAAATACAAAATGGTTACTTCAGTCTAGATCCAAGGTCAAATCTTACATTATGACTAAGGCTACCCAAAAGGAAACAAAAGAATATCAGTATTTGAGCAAATGTATGCCAACCACTGCAATTTCTCATTTAATTCTCCCTTAACACTCTGGGAGGCTGAGGTGGGTGGATTGCTAGAGGTCAGGAATTCGAAACCAGGCTGAGCAAGAGTGAGACCCCCGTCTCTACTATAAAACAGAAAGAAATTAATTGGCCAACTAATATACAGAGAAAAAATTAGCCGGGCATGGTGGTGCATGCCTGTAGTTCCAGCTACTCAGGAGGCTAAGGCAGCAGGATTGCTTGAGTCCAGGAGTTTGAGGTTGCTATGAGCTAGGTTGACACCACGGCACTCACTCTAGCCTGGGCAACAGAGTGAGACTCTGACTAAAAAAAAAAAAAAAAGAAGAAGAAGAAATTTCCACTTCTTTATAGAAAAGATGATACTCAAAATGGTTAAGTAAATTACCCAAAGTTAAGGGCCAAAAAGAGATTCAAATCTGGGTCCAATTCCAAACAATTTTTCTACCTCATCGTAATACTAAGACATTTATTGTAAAACCGTTATTTGTTAGCCGAGGTGGGAGGATCGCTTGAGCTCAGGAGTTCAAAACCAGCCTGAGCAAAACCCTGTCTCTACCAACAACAGAAAAAATTAGAATGGAAGGTGGTGCATGCCTGTAGTACCAGCTACTCAGGAGGCTGAGGCCGGAGGATCACTTGAGCCCTGGAGTTTGAGGTTGCAGTGAGTTATGATAACAACACTGCACTCTACCACAGGCAAAAAAGAGTGAGACTCTGCCTCAAAACACAAAACAAAAACAAAAATAAAATAAAAAAACAAAAACAAAAACCTGTATTTGTTTAAGTACCAAGAAAATCCCCTTGGAAAATGAGTTAAAGAAAGGGAAGGAGGGGAAAAGAGAAAAAGAACCAGACCAATTCCCTTTCTGCCTCTCTCCCACATAGTTTAAAGGAAGCCTCCTCGCTGTAGTTCTACAATTACCCAGAAAGACCCAATTTCACTTTCCTCCTTGGAATAGTAATACTCACTTGGCCTGTAAAAAAAGTTCCTTGTTAAAAGGTTTATGTCCCCACTTGTTCCTTTTTCCCCAGCTGCCATGTCCACTGCCTTCAAAGTGACCTGCATGGCCACGGGGTTCAAAAGTGAAATTCAACAAGTGGTTCAGGTTGATCTTCTTAGGACCAGAGAACTGGGCAGGGCTAAACTCTGCCCGTTGAGCCTCTGCTACCTAGAGAAAATGAGAATGAATCAGGGTATTTCAGATTAGGACAACACTTACCAATTTACAGCAGAAACCCACACAACCCTCTTCCTACACTGCTTAAAATATTAACTAAATAAAACCTAGACTCAAAGCAAACAATCTTCCTAGGAGATGGTAATGCAAAAGCCTACCCAAGAGTGAATGGGAGTGAAGAGGAGGAAAAAGAGCCTTTAACATACAATTACTTAAACTATTTAGTCTGCTCTGCTAAGTAGCAATTAACCATTAAAGGACAAAACCCAGCACGAAATCCTCTAGCTATCTTGAAGCACAGATTTACTTACTGAATTAATATTTAGACCTGGCAACCTTCACTCTTGTTCGCCTACTTGTTCTTTGACTTGTTTCTGGCAAAGTCAGTCTGTGGAGCTGTATTTTAGAGGTGGCTTGCAGGCAGCTACTAACTGCCCTAAGCTTCTGGATACTGCCAGAGCCCTCTCATTTAAGATACACACTGTTATTCATTGTTAATTAAAACTGGCAGAATTAGAACATGTAGGCAGACTAGCTCTGTGTCCAGAAATAAACCCAATCAGCAGATTCAGAAACAGTTCAGAAAGTGATAGGAAACCATATATGAGAAATACCACTGCACAGAAAGATGGAAGAAACCACATCAAGATGTATTTCAGTCCCCTCAACATTCCCAAACTGAAATGGTATAGACAGGTGCTGTAAGTCAGCTAGTGCATTTCTCCAACCCACTTTCCCCTTTAACGTTATATACACTTTGCCAGACACTTTAGATGAATACATACCATTACCTTATATGGGTACAGCATATTTTATTTTACTTATTTTACTTTTTCTCTTTTTTTTAAGAGACAGGGTATCACTGTCACCCAGGCTGGAGTGCAGTGGTGCAATCACACCTCACTGTAATCTTGAACTCTTGACCTCAAGAGATCTTTCTACCTCAGTCTCCCAAAGTGCTAGAATTACAGGCATGAGTCACCACGCCCAGCCATAAAGCAAATTTGAAGGCCCTACTCTATGGCACAGATTATTTGTAACTTTTTCACTATAACAAAATAATACAGTGAGCTACCACTGGGCCACTGCACTCCAGCCTGGGTGACACAGCAAGATCCTATCACTAAAAAGATAAGATAAAAAACAAAATAAAGCTCACGCCTGTAATCCTAGCTCTTGGGAGGCCGAGGCGGGCGGATTGCTCAAGGTCAGGAGTTCGAAACCAGCCTGAGCAAGAGCGAGACCCCGTCTCTACTATAAATAGAAAGAAATTAATTGGCCAACTCATATATATAGAAAAAATTAGCCAGGCATGGTGGTGCATGCCTGTAGTCCCAGCTACTCGGGAGGCTGAGGCAAAAGGATTGCTTGAGCCCAGGAGTTTGAGGTTGCTGTGAGCTAGGCTGATGCCACGGCACTCACTCTAGCCTGGGCAACAAAGTGAGACTCTGTCTCAAAAAAAAAAAAATTAAATTTAAATTTAAATTAGAAAAAATAAAACTATAACAAGTGGCAGACAGGCAACTTCCTTTTTATTAACAAAAGATATTGGGATATAACCCCACATTCTGTTTATGTAAGTCACCACAGGAAGCCCCAAACTTCCAGGTCATCCCTTATCTCTCATCTCCATACAACTCTGATCTCCCCTAATCAGACAGTCTTTCAACTGCACAGCCCAAACTTAGATCTAAGAGCTTCTGCTAAGTCAACAAAAATCCACATTCTCAACCTTCTACCTTCACCTTGTCCTAGCTGTCCCACTGTCACTCTCTATACCACCACTCATCATCATTCCTCACTATCCTCCTAATATGCTAACTTTCTTAGTTCCTTAACCTCCTACTTTTCCAATCGGCTTGCCCCCATCTCAGCCAGAGTCTCACATCTCAGTAGATGTGGCTACTGAGCACTTGAAATGTGGCCTGTGCCATGAGGTAAAATTATATCTTAGATATAATGGGTTAAATATATTACAGTTAACCTCATTTCTTTCTTTTTTACTTTTCTAATGTGGGAACTAGGAAACTTTAATTACACATGTGGCTTGCTTTTCTATTAAGACAGTATTGCTCTATAGTCTAAACCATGCTAGTAACAATCACACATCTTCTACCATCTTAACTTTGAGCATCCTACTGTCTAAGCAGAAATTCTCTTCTTTCTCAGGTTTAGTCTAATTCCAACAATTCTTTACCCACTAGGATCTCCAAACCAGTAATCCAACCTCCCAGATTTGGCTTAGATTCTGTGGTTGATCACCTCTTCTCTATTTGTCTGCTGTATTCACCCAGCAAAACTTTCCCCTGATTAAACTCTTTGCCTACTCCACACCAGCCCGAGAGCAGATAAACAAGGCTAAAACCACAACCCTACCAGTCTCACTACAGTAGACCCTCACGCTGCCTGTAGTACTGCAATCCTATTGTACATTCTTTCTTTCCCAGACAGCTCCTTCATTCCTCAAGCTTCCAAACCTTCTCCGAGTTCACTTTATATATTTCACTAAGAAAGTAAGAACAATCAGAAAAGAACTCCAACACCTCCTCACCACCACACCATCCTCTTATTACTGGGAATGAGCAGGCAAAGCTCCTATCTAAGCCAAATCCTCCAGTTCTGCACTAGATCAAGAACAAAAGGACAGGCCAAGCACAGTGGCTCACGCCTGTAATCCTAGCACTCTGGAAGGCCGAGGCGGGCAGATTGCTCAAGGTCAGGAGTTCAAAACCAGCCTGAGCAAGAGTCCGACTCTACCATAAAAATAGAAATAAATTAATTGGCCAACTAATATATATAATATAAAAATCAGTCGGGCATGGTGGCTTGTGCCTATAGTCCCAGCTACTCGGGAGGCTGAGACAGGAGGATCACTTGAGCCCAGGAATTTGAGGTTACTGTGAGCTAGGCTGATGCCAGGAGGATTGCTTGAGCCCAGGAGTTTGAGGTTGCTGTGAGCTAGACTCATGCCACGGCACTCTAGCTTGGGCAACAAAGCAAGACTCTGTCTCAAAAAAAAAAAAAAAAAAAAAAACAAGGACACTGTTCAGTAACTCTTCCCCTTTCCCCTCAATCACTTTTCTCCTCTCACCAGAACCATCCTACTGTCAGAGACATGCTGTAATTTCCCTAATCTTAAAATATCTCTTGACCTCCGGTTCCCCTCAAGCTGCTATCTCACATCTGTGCTCCCCTTTGGAGTAAAGCCACTAGAAAGTACTGTCTACACTTGCTGTTTGTTCTTCTCATCCTCCCATTCTCTCGAGTCTATGCCAACTAGGAATTTGTCTCCACCACTCCAAAGAACTCAAAGGCCAACCACATACCTTCGCATTTTCAGATCTGTCCATTTTCAATCCTATTCACTCAGACTATTATCAGCACTCGACAAAACTGATCACTTTCTCCAACAGTTTTCAGTTCTCATCTTCCTCCCTCAATGACCACTCCTGCTCCGCCTCATTTGCTAGCTCCTTATCCTGGCTTGTGGGCTCAGTTCTTAAACCTAATTCATTTTTGCAACACTCACTCCTTAATGATCTCTCATTTAGTTCCATAACTTTAAGCAACTATATGCTGATAGCTCTCTAGCTTAGGTCTTCTCCTTAAAATCCACATTCACAGTTAACTGCCTATCTCTTAGATATTAATAGGCATCTCAACGCAAATATAACATTTCCAAGCTGAAGTGTTTTATTTCAACCCCCATTCACCCCCCAAAACAAAAACCCTATATTCCTTTTGAAATCTTCCCTGTTCTAGCAAAAGGTACCTGTTGAACTCATGCCAAAAACATTACTCATCCTTTTCTCTACTCAGACTTCACATCTAATAAATCAAAAAACCTTGTTGGCTCTACCTTCAAGTAATACTCCAAATCTAACTGCCTTTCACCACCCCCATCACTATCAAGAATACTGTCATGGCCTCCTAGTCTCCCTACTTCCACTGTTCCCCTTAAGCCTCCAAGTCAGATTAGCTTTTTATTTTTTTTAAAGACAGTGTCTGGCTCTGTTGCCTGGGCTAGAGTGAAGGGGCGTCATCAAAGCTCACTACAACCTTAAACTCCTGGGCTCAGGCCGGGTGTGGTGGCTCACACCTGTAATCCTAGCACTCTGGGAGGTCGAGGTGGGTGGATCGCTCAAGGTCAGAAGTTCAAGACCAGCCTAAGCAAGAGAGAGACCCCATCTCTACTAAAAATACAAAGAAATTAGCTAGACAACTAAAAATATATAGAAAAAATTAGCTGGGCATGGTGGCTCATGCCTGTAGTCCCAGCTACTCAGGAGGCTGAGGCAGGAGGATCACTTGAGCCCAGGAGTTTGAGGTTGCTGTGAGCTAGGCTGATGCCATGGCACTCTAATCCGGGCAACAAAGTGACACTGTGTCTCAAAAAAAAAAAAAAGCAGCATGTTGTCTGATCCTCTCACCCCCAGGAGAGGAGAAAGAGGTAGAAGTGTAGATAATCAAAGCAGTCAGTTTTGAGTAGTTGAGGATTAACTAGGTTTGGAACTTAGCTTCCTTTTTTCCCCTGAAGGTTATGAAAATTTCCTTGGAGGAAGAAGACATGATAATCATGGATCGTGAGAAATTATGGCAAATTTGGGGTATCTTAATTTGTATAGTCCTTTTATTATCACTCTTGAATTATAGGTATCCTTTGGATATTTAGGTGATAAAATGATGTTAATTAATGACACCAAAAATTTGCTCCTTGCTTATTGTACACCGGATACTATTTAGGAGTTTGGAATACAGTGTTGAACAGAACATGTCTTTGTCCTTCAGAAGCTTATATTCTAGTTTGGAAAGACAGTAAATAAGCCAGTAAATAATAAATCTGATGGTAATTTTAATTGAATTAAAATGTAAACTGAGGGCCGGGCACAGTGGCTCATGCCTGTAATCCTAGCACTCTGGGAGGCTGAGGTGGGCGGATTGCTCGAGGTTAGGAGTTCGAAACCAGCCTGAGTAAGAGCGAGACCCCGTCTCTACTATAAAATAGAAAGAAATTAATTGGCCAACTAATATATAGAGAAAAAATCAGCCAGGCATGGTGGCGAGTGCCTGTAGTCCCAGCTACTCGTAAGGAGGCTAAGGCAGTAGGATTGCTTGAGCCAGGAGTTTGAGGTTGCTGTGAGCTAGGCTGATGCCACGGCACTCACTCTAGCCTGGGCAACAAAGTGAGACTCTGTCTCAAAAAAATAAAAATAAAATGTAAACTGAGGGATGTAAAACAATAGAAACTAGGCATACAGTTTTAGAAAGTGAGTAGCTCTGACTACTGACTAAAGTGAGTAGCTCTTGAGTAGCTGGGACTACAGGCATGCGCCACCATGCCTAATTTTTTCTGTATGTATTTTTAGCTGTCCAGCTAATTTCTTTCTATTTTTTAGTAGAGACGGTGTCTCACTCCTGATCAGGCTGGTCTCAAACTCCTGACCTCGAGCGATCCTCCTGCCTCGGCCTCCCAGAGTGCTAAGATCATCAGCGTGAGCCACCACGCCCGGCCAGATATGATGCTTCTTATGTTCTACAAATGACATTCTCAAATTCCATACCTCATCTCGTCTTCCACCATTAAAAGAAGAGCTAAAGAGTTTGCTGCTGCCGCCGCCCCTTTGAGGAGGCATCTTATTAAAAGTTTTGCTTTTCTGTGAATTGGAGCGACGGGACTGGTTGCTAAAACTTTCATTTTTGGGGTAGGAAGGTTCACGTTTGCGATTATAACGCTTGGATCCACTTGAGTTCTTTCCATCTGAAAACAAGAAACACAAAAGAATAATGAGTGATACAATAAATATATCTGGCCAATTGCTCTCCACCTCCCAGCAAAATTGTGGTTAAACAGGGGTAAATGGGCCCTCTCACCACCTCTAGGAAACTGAGGTTTGGGTCAGAGCAACAGGGCTTTGAGCAAGAGTGCACATAGTTAGGTGGGTTTTTCTTGAAATGATGAAGCCAAACCCACTGTAGATCAAACCACACAGATTTTCAATTCACAATGTCTCTTTTTCACAGAGCTTAAGCACCAGGCCTTAGCAGATATATTCAAGAGGCATAAAAAGCAAACGATGCTTACATATATTCTAGAAGCCAAATAAAGTGACAGAACAAAAGACACCAAATTCTCAAAGCATATCCGATCAACTTGAGTTCTAGTCTTTTTTTTGGGGGGGGGGGGACAGAATCTCACTCTGTTGTCCTGGCTAGAGTACCACAGCATCAGCTTAGCTCACAGCAATCTCAAACTCCTGGGCTCATGCAATCCTCTTGCCTCCCAAGTAGCTGGGACTATAGGCATGCACCACTACACGGCTAATTTTTTCTATTTTTAGTAGAGATGGGGTCTTGCTCTTGCTCAGGCTGGTCTCAATCTCCTGAGTTCCAGTGATCCTCCTGCCTCAGCCTTCTAGACTACTAGGTTGACAGGCGTGAGCCACTGTGCCTGGCTGAGTTCTATTCCCTTTAAAAACTGTCTCCTTGACGCCACGGCACTCACTCTAGCCTGGGCAACAAAGTGAGACTCTGTCTCAAAAAAAAAAAACAAAAAAATAAAATAAAATAAAAACTGTCTCCTAGGCCGGGTGCGGTGGCTCACGCCTGTAATCCTAGCACTCTGGGAGGCCGAGGCGGGCGGATTGCTTGAGGTCAGGAGTTCGAAACCAGCCTGAGCAAGAGCGAGACCCCGTCTCTACTATAAAGAGAAAGAAATTAATTGGCCAACTAATATATATATATTAATTAGCCGGGCATGGTGGCACATGCCTGTAGTCCAGCTACTCGGGTGCGAGGCAGAAGGATTACTGAGCCCAGGAGTTTGAGGCTGCTGTGAGCGAGGCTGACACCACCGGCACTCACTCTAGCCTGGGCAACAAGCGAGACTCTGTCTCAAAAAAAAACAAAAAAAACTGTTCCTGCTTTTTTTCTCATAATATGACTACATATTCAATTTATGGAAACGTAGAATTTAAAGTTGCCAGTACCCACTGAATACCAACCTATTAATAGTGCTTAATTTCCTTTTATTGTCTTACTTTATACTTGCCACACTTCTTATACAAACAAGCATAGAAGACATGTCTCTACTTATTACTCCATGAGCATTTTCATGCATGCCTAGTCTTTCGGAAACATCATTAATGGCTGCACTATTGCTCACATACACTTATGTATTGTTATTTATATATAATATATATGCATAGAGTCTGTATATGATTAATTATGTCAAATTCTTCTTTTTTTTTTTTTTTAGAGACAGAATATCGCTCTGTTGCTGGGCTGAGTGCTGTTGCATCAGCCTTAGCTCACAGCAACCTCAACTGGGCTCAAGCAATCCTCCTGCCTCAGCCTCCCGGGTAGCTGGGACTACAGGCACATGCCACAGTGCCTGGCTAACTTTTTCTATTTTTAGTTGTTTTGGCTAATTTTTTTCTATTTATAGTAGAGACAGGGTCTCACTCTTTCTCAGGCTGGTCTTGAACTCCTGAGCTCAAGCAATCCTCCCTCCTTGGTCTCCCAGAGTGCTAGGATTACAGGCATGAGCCACCATGCCCGGCCTATGTAAAATTCTTAAAGTAGAATTAGATCAAGTATGATCATTAAGCCTTTTATATATTCTCAGGTTACTTTCTAGAACCATTACACCAATTTATTTATATTCTAACAGCACTATAATAGACAATGTCAGCTAGGCACAGTGGCTCACACCTGTAATCCCAGCGCTCTGAGAGGCCAAGGCAGGAGGATCACTTGAGCTCAGGAGTTTAACACCAGGCTGATTCCATGCCACTCTAGCCCAGGTGACAGATCAAGACTCTGTCTCCGCCGCCCCCCCCCCAAAAAAGAGTATCTAGTTTACTACACTTGCTAATATTGACTTGAATAAAAGTTATTCAACCGACGAGTCAAAATGATTCTCATTTTAAATTTTAATTTCCCTGATAACTATCAGCAAATACTTTTTCAGCTTGACCATTTGTATTTGATGTAAACAGACTGCCTGGATTTTTGCCCCACTTTTTTTCTACTGGGGAGCTGACCTGCATGGACTTTTTTTGTCCCAAATTGAAGAACCTTGACCAGACACATTTACACACTAAAGTCTACCAGCTTTAAAAAAAATAAAGCAAATAAAACCTGAGAACAATATACAACTAAAAAACTACAAATAAGAGAGGATACCCAAATAGTCTTTGCCCCCCCCAAAAAAGATTCATTTATCTTCTCATTCTTTTGCTCACTCCATGCTGTCCTACTGGAATGTGGAAACCTGACCAAGTCAAGTCTGAATACTAATCTAATGGTTTTAAAAATCAAAACTTAGAATGAAAATTAGGAGACTTTTAATGAAGAAATACATTGGGCTTAACCTCAAAAGTGGTTTACAAAGATAAGAGATTCTAGCACAAACCACAAAAACTATAAAGTTGGATCTCCCTCAGATATCATTTTACTCTTTATATTAAAACTATATAATCTATATAATTAATAGAAACATGTCTGGAAAGGAAATATACCAGGCTGTTAATGATCAATTATCATTATGAACAATTATCATTACCTTTACGATATGGAGCTATTCAATCTTCTCCTATTATAGTGTTTCTCAATCCTGCCAGTTCACAGGAATCACCCAAATGAACTTGTAAGGGATTCATATGCTCAGACCTCACCCTCTATGATTCTGACTTAAGTAGACAAAATTATTGTTGTGTATACTTATTACCTAAGTAATTTAAAAAACTCTAAGAACTTACAAGAAATTATTCTAGACACATAAGATCACCAACTCTTTTTACAGCAGATTAAATAAGTTCGAGGTAAAGCAAAGCTTCAGAAAAAAGGAAATGTGAGTTAACAAATCAGAGTCCAAATTTTGAAAGCAATCACCTCACACTCATAGTTTATCAACCTCATTGGATAAATGTGAGGTGTCATCCTCCCCACACCTGACCAATTACAACCTGGGAGTCAAGCTAATAGTCATGTGAAGTGGCAGCAGTGTAAACAGAACAGATAGTCACAGAAACATGGCCAGGCTAGGTACACTAGCAGTTACCCTTAAAACCCAGTCAGGGACAGTGGCCAGAGTTTATTCTGAAGTCAGGACTTAAGAACTAGACTCTTACCTACTACTTCAGTTAGCAACAGTTAATGTCAAACAGAAGCTTCAGATCTCATATAAATTTTGCCTTGCCCTCCACGGTAGTAGTTTATAAGATTTTAAGTAAATGGACAATTCAGGGAATACAGAACCCCAGCTACCTCTTTACCAATGAAAGCCACCTCAGCCACATTTTCCTGCGTAGCTCTGACTTCCTTACCCCATTCCCTATCACCTCATGAGAACGTATGAGTTCTTAAGAGGATAGGCATATAAAGAAAACAGGCCGGGCACGATGGCTCACACCTGTAATCCTAGCACTCTGGGAGGCCAAGGCGGGCGGATTGCTCGAGGTCAGGAGTTCGAAAGCAGCCTGAGCAAGAGCAAGACCCCGTCTCTACTATAAAGAGAAAGAAATTAATTGGCCAACTAATATATATATATAAAAATTAGCCGGGCATGGTGGCACATGCCTGTAGTCCCAGCTACTCGGGGAGGCTGAGGCAGAAGGATTACTTGAGCCCAGGAGTTTGAGGCTGCTGTGAGCGAGGCTGACACCACGGCACTCACTCTAGCCTGGGCAACAAGCGAGACTCTGTCTCAAAAAAAAACCAAAAAAAACTGTCTCCTGCTTTTTTTCTCCAATCATATGACTACATATTCAATTTTGAAAACGTAGAATTTAAAGTTGCCAGTACCCACTGAATACCAACCTATTAATAGTGCTTAATTTCCTTTTATTGTCTACTTTATATACTTGCCACACATCTTATACAAAACAAGCATAGAAGACATGTCTTCTACTTATTACTCCATGAGCATTTTCATGCATGCCTAGTCTTCGGAAACATCATTAATGGCTGCACTATTGCTCACCATACACTTATAGTATTGATTATATATATAATATATATGCATAGAGTCGTATATGATTAATTATGTCAAATTTTCTTTTTTTTTTTTTTTTTAGAGACAGAATATCGCTCTGTTGCCTGGGCTAGAGTGCTGTTGCATCAGCCTAGCTCACAGCAACCTCAACTCCGGGCTCAAGCAATCCTCCTGCCTCAGCCTCCCGGGTAGCTGGGACTACAGGCACATGCCACAGTGCCTGGCTAACTTTTTCTATTTTTAGTTGTTTTGGCTAATTTTTTTCATATTTATAGTAGAGACAGGGTCTCACTCTTTCTCAGGCTGGTCTTGAACTCCTGAGCTCAAGCAATCCTCCCTCCTTGGTCTCCCAGAGTGCTAGGATTACAGGCATGCGACCATGCCCGGCCTATGTAAATTCTTAAACTAGAATTAGATCAAGTATGATCATTAAGCCTTTTATATATCAGGTTACTTTCTAGAACGCATTACACCAATTTATTTATATTCTAACAGGCACTAATAATAGACAATGTCAGCTAGGACACAGTGGCTCACACCTGTAATCCCAGCGGCTCTGAGAGGCAGGCAGGGATCA